CTGGGAGGCAGCGGCTGCGGCGGCTCCGAGCAGCAGCAGCAGGCGGCGACGTCCCGAGACGCCCGAGGGGAAGGAGCCGGCGGCCGAATAGAAGGGCAGGCAGGCGGCGCCGGTGCGCCGGCAGCTGCTGCAGTTGCAGCCACAACCCCGGAGCAGCGCCCCGAGCACCCAGCGCGTCCCGGCCATGGACTCCGGAGGCGGCGCAGGGCCTGGAGATGGCTGCGGCTGCAGCGCGAGCGGAGAGGAAGTGGAATCCAGGGCCGGGGAGGGGGCGCCAGGCACATGCGCCGCGGGCACCCAGGGGCAGCGGCGAGACGGCAGGAGGCGGAGGAGAGCGCACCGCTCCGCCCGGTCTCCGCCCTCGGGGCGGGGCTGCTAATAAATGGGCGGGGCCGTGGGGGTCCCCCACTGAGACCCGCTGGCTCTTTTCACTTGTTGAAAACCGAGGTGAGGTGAGCGCCTTCCTGCTCTGGGCAGCCCGAGACTTTAAACGCCCGTCTGCCAACGCCTGGCACTGTGCCCCCGGAAGCGCCTGACGCTTGAGGAGCTAAAGGGCCTTGTGGTTGTAAAAAGGGTTGGAATATTATAGGAAGAGATTTAGTAGCATTTTCACCCTTCCACCTGGAGATGTGTGCCAAAGGCCAGCTTTGTTTTAAAGTGAACTATGTAGATGCTTATTTTATGTCCACAGTAGCTATAACGAGAGCTTTAGCCTTTCCTAGGAAGGCGCAGCCACAGGTACACAAGCAGCAGTTGCACAAGGACAGGTTATGCAATTTTCATCCAGTGGCCAGAAGTTTTTGTGTGCAATCTCAAAAGTAGAAAAGTATAGTATAATAAAATTTTAGAATTTAAAAATTGTCTCATATTTCAATCTTCATCTGTCCCCACCACCACCAACTTCTTTTTTCTTTTCTGAACTATTTTAAAGAAAATCACAAGGGTCCTGTCAACCACCCTTTACACTACATCTTTAATCCATAAGGATTTATTAGAAAGAACACCATGACATTCAGATTATTTTGACGTATCTAAGATTGTGGTTAAGGTGTGAATTGTTTGCTCTGACTAACTTTTAGGGAAAAGAAAGCTCAGCATTTGCCAGTAAATCCAAAAGAGCAAATACTAGGATTGATTTGTCTAGCTGGATATGGGAGAATTAAAATAAAGAGCGCTTACTCATCTGCAATATTTAGTAATCCTAAAGATTTTTTTTTCTTTACTCTCCCTTCTTAGAAGGAAAATAGTTTAGTCCTTATTAGCTGATTACTACTATAAATACCCATTTGTGAGGCCTCCTCCCAGATGGCACAGGGGTTAAGTCTCAGCACTATGAAGCTATCTTCAGCCACCAGCAAAAGTTTGATCCCCCACCAGGGAGCTGACCCACATGGCTCAGCAGACCTCTGCTGTCTGTTCCACTGTATTTCAGTCAATCCTGTTCGGCTCCCCACTCTGTCTCTGAATCCTATCACACACACCCCAAACCCCTGCACTTCTGGCAAGTACCCCAGTTCTTGCATGCAGACATAAATAAATCTTTAAAAAACTGAAACTTGTGTTAGTAAATATTGTAAACTCAAACAACTTTAATTAGCCCGTGTTAGTGTTAACCTAATGTTGCAGTGTTAAAAATACTACTAGACAAATTTACTTTGAGAGACTTTTTTGACTAGGGTGATGACAGAGGAAATAAGGGGATGTTTGTGAGACTTTCTGGTAGAATCACTAGAACTTGAAGCTATATTAGGATTGTTTTCTGTTATTTTTGTGTTATTTGGAGTTAGGAATGGTTGCTGAAGATGACATTTCATCTCTGGGGAAGTTTAGAATTAAATACAAATGTATTGGAAGCAAATTAAACCCTACTTTGTGTTAAATTTACTTTGTGTTTTTAAAAAAAAGAAAAAAATTACTTTGTTAAGCCAGAAAATGCTGCCCTAGAACTATTCATTTGAAAATTGTTGGTATAAATGAAGCCACTGCTATGGATGAGAGTGCTAGGATCAAGTCTTAGAATAAGAAGAGAAGGCTTTAAGACAAGTCTTAAAGTATTACAGTATTTAATGCTTTGTAGAATAAAGTGAATTTGCAGGGAGAAAGGGAGGAACAAAAAGTTAAACACCAGCAGTGTGCTTCTGGAAGGATGGAAGGAGTATTCAACAATGTCAAGTTCTTGCTAAAATTCATGCTTACACATCAAGTGAGACAAGAACAAGAAAAACTGTTAAAACATTGGAATGTTGCTTGTGGTTAGAAACTAACAGGATGTTGTCCAAGGCCCTGGATGTTATCAGAAGCCCAGGCACCAGCAAGACATTACTTGCAGTTACCACGTGCACAAAGGGGGATCCGAAAGTGACTCATCCTAATGGACTACGTACTTTGGAAATTTCCCAGCCCGCGAATTTCACTATATAAGATCCTCTGTTCAGAGGCTTGGGGTCCATCCCGTCTGGACGAGATCACTGTGTCGGTACACTCCGGGGATCAGATCCTAGCCCGGGCTAGCAATAAAGGCTTGTACTTGTCTTTTGCATCGGTTCTGTGTCTCAGCATTTCTCGGACTCTAACAAAAACCATCTTCGATTTAAGGGGAAAAGAATCTTGGATTTAGTGATGTGGGAAATAAACTTATGCATAATTGCTGGGATAATGGCACAAACCAGAATAAAGCAGATGTGAGGATGTGGAGATTGACCAGAACTTGAGATTTTATGTGAAGAAACAGATAAGACAGTATAGTTCCAAAGTTTTGTTTTTCATTGGATTAAATCAGGTGAAATTGGAGCATTTGAAAAGGACTCAGCTGATAAGGAAAATTGAGTAATCAGGTAAAAATAGTATAAACTGATCTGTGGATTCCCAGAAAGATGCAAAATAACAGGCATCAAAACTCATGTGCGGCCCTCCCTGGTGGCGCAGCGGGTTAAAGCCCTGCACTGAGACGCTAAAGCCACTTCCGCATGAGTTCGATTCCCGCCTGCCCGGGAGGTGACCATATGGTGTGGCAGACCTCTACTGGCCCGCCCACTGCTCCCCTCAGCAGTGTACTACGTAGATCTGCCTGTTCTGCTCCCCACTCTGTCTCTGGTGAAGCCTCTCACCGTCCCTGAACCTCTGGCCTGTACCCCAGTTCTGTATGTACAAATAAATAAATCTTAAAAAAAAAAAAACTCATGTGCAGAGATAATCTTTAAATATTAGGAGAGAGCCACCCTGGTGGTATAGGGGTTAAGTGTCAGCACTATGAAGCTATCCACAGCCACTCCAGCAGAGTTAGATCCCTGTGCAGGGAGCTGACCCACATGGCACAGCAGACCTCTCCTGTCTCACTCACTGCTCCCCTCAGTAATGTATTTCGTTCATTTCACCAGTTCTGTTCCCCACTTTGTCTCTGGTGAATCCTCTCATCTCCTCACACATTTGGCCTACATCCCAGCTCTTGTATGCATAAATAAGTAAATCTTAAAAAAAAGAAAAAAAGAATTTCTGAAGTAGAGCTAGTGTAAATGGGTGAATGAAACACTTGACATGGGGGAAATTAAGCAAGAAGGGGGAGAAACAATCACCTCCCATCCCTTGGAAAGATTGTTCAAAAGAAGTTATTTTGGCTCTAACGAGCACATTACTAAGAACTGAAAGAGGACCTGGAAGGGGATCATTATATGATTACTAATAAATAAATGGAGGAACTCATTTTATTGTCTGTGTCCCTCAATTCTTCGAGGTGAGCATACTTAGTTTTCTTCTGATATGCAATGAGGATGAGTTCATCTCAAAGGGTCCCACCCATTGGCCTCTTTGCATTTGAAAGAAACAAAAAATCAAGAACGGTGGATGTCAATAAGCCTAGGGTGGCAAAAGGGAAAGGAATTGAAGTCAAGGACCATAAAAATGGTGCCCATTTGTGTAACCTGTGTTTAAGGTGCTATTCATCATCGAGATTAAAGGAAGAAGTTTATTATGCTGTGTAGATAAGAGAACTTCAGGATTTGGAGCTACCCATTACTTCCAAGGCGAGACAAAGAGGTGCATTTTATCACCACTATCAGGGCTTCAATCTTTTATCTGACAAGAAAACTGATCCACAAAGATGTTTTTGCTGCACTGACGTTTATTTCCTAGGTTAGCTTTTTCAGTTGGCCTGTACTCACAATGAACAATTTTTATGTCTCTCCCATAGAATGCATTTTGAAAGCCCTCTGAAGGAATAAAATGTACCTATTTATGATGGACATATGACAGACCAATAAACCTCTAAATACTGTAGCTTCAATTATTAAAAGTAAAATAGTTCCCAGGAAAGGAGGGTAACTGATTAGTTGCTTAATTGAAATGTAATGTCAAACAATTCTGATAAAGATGAAAGGATTATTTTATATTAATAACCCATTTCTGCCGTGGAAAATATTTTTAAATTAACAAAACTAGAAATGTGAATTCTATTCCTGAGGGGATTCTCAGAAAACAATGTTAACATGATTATTACAAGGAACTAACACATCCACATAAATGAAGTAGTCACAAAAAAACAAATTCTCTGTAGATGCTGAGTTGGTACTATATAAAGCATATATTGAGGCTATTTAGTCAGTCAAATGATAGAGCATGGCATCTTCTGACCATATTTACAAAAGGTTATGGTAGGATTTTTTGACTAGTCAGCTACTGAGAAACAGTCACATCAACTAATATTTCCTAAGATGTAAAAACTAAACAGAGTCCAAGATTCAAGTATCAACTGACACACACAAGATACTATATTAAGCACAATGTAATAGGCATCATTCTGAACAATCATCTCTTCTAAATAGGTCATACATGAACATAGCATTAAAAAGGTCAAATTAAGGTTTTAGATATATGAACTCAAGTGTGTGCACACTTAGAGGTTTACCTTTAAGCATTGTCTTCTAGTCATCCTGTTTTGCGTGTAGATACTCTTACCAGCTTCTTGAGTGTTCTTTCAGAGATGGCCTGTGCAGTGTTTTATCACTTCAAAATTTGGTGATGACGGTGTAAACTTGGAAGTTTGACAAGTTTTCCACCTGCTGTGGAAGGATATTCTGAAATCAGTGTGTTCCTAAATTGAGAGCAAAAGGAAAAGGAAGCACAATAAGCAAAGATCCCATTTCAAAAGAAACAACACTGGAGTGAAAAGGCATGAAAGGAAATGGTAACTCTGCTATAAGAATATTTTTTTCCCACTTTTAACAACATAAGGAAAAACAAAACTTCAGAGTCATACATTTTGATAAAATCCTGGCTTTGTCAG